TCCGTTCTAGCGAACGGTCGAGTCCAACTCCTCCCAGGGAACAGAGTCCTTGACTTATAATATGTCGATGACATCGCCTTGCTGGGTGACAACACACAGGCAGTCAAAGACGCTTTGAACCGCTCGGCGATCGAGGTGTCCGGATATGGTATGTGCTTTACACCTTCCAAGTGCAAAGTGCTGGTTCAAGACTGGCAGGAGCCTGTGCCTGCACTCACCCTCTGTGGTGATTAGTTAGAAGTAGTTGAGATCTTTAAGTACCTCGGGAGCTTGATTGAAGCTGGTGTCGGTGTTGGAAAGGAGATCACATCACGAATAGTGAAAGCTAGATCAGCGTTCGCCAACCTACGACACTTGTGGCGCCGCCATGACATCCGACTATCGCTTAAGAGAAGGGTGTACATCGACGCAGTTCGTAGTGTTCTGCTTTACGGTTGCGAGACCTGGCCTCTCCGAGAAAAGGATGCTAATCGATTTTCTATATTCGACCACCGATGTCTCCGAAGCATTGCTCGTGTCTGGTGGGAACATCGGGTGAGCAATGATGAAGTCCGTCGTCGTGTGTTGGGCGTGGATTGTCGTTCCCTAACAGAAGTAATCGCTCTACACCGCCTCCGATGGCTTGGGCACGTATTGCGTATGCTTGCCCATCAACTACCTTTCCGCGCTCTCTTTGCACGTGTCGGGGAAGGCTGGAAGAAACACAGCGGCGTTCAGACCATGACATGGCGTAGAGTTATGAAGAAACTTGCTTCAGCTTTGGCTTCGTTGGTGCGGCCCGCCTTCCAGGTTAGGGCCGAAGGGATGAGGATTGTCGTTGGTTAGAGACGTTGAGAGATATGGCCCAGAATAGAAGTCAGTGGCGCGAATGCTATACGGTCTACCTGTCGAAATCCCGTTCCCCGTAAAAACAACAAACAACACAAAAAAAATCAAAAAGTGTATGGTGAAACACACAAAAATTGTCATTCCAGTTATTCGTAATCTTCCATTCTAACAGTTACGTCTTTTTCCCTATACTCTGTCTCCCACCCACCCACCCCCTACCATTATTGTGGTATTGGCACCATGCTTTTTTCTCAAGCCAGTGTTAAATACATATATATATATATATATATTTATGTCTCAGATTTGTATCGTTTACTAGTAGGGATTAATGTGCTCGTGCGCGGTTGGTCGAATAAGGCCCCTCGACGAACGGCACGTCGACTACTTTGGTTCAGGCTTCTTCACTTGCACATAACTCCCGAGCTTTTCTGGACATCGTCGGAGTTAGTGCAGCTATAATGCGTTTTGCTCCTTCAAAGTGCAAAATGGTGTTGTGGGACCGAGTGGAGTTAGGTACCAATCGCCCGTTAACTGAGGAGCTAAATTTTGCCATTTACGATGAAACATCTATAACGAGTGTATCAACCTCGGATAATCTGCCGGCAAGCAATGATGTTTTCAAAACTAAGATACATTTAGCGCCATCACAGCAGGGTCAGACAGCACTTCCCAATAAGCCAGTAGCAAAGCGCACCCTACATGCATCACAAAGGGGTAGTAACTTTTTTACAGAAGAAATAAATATCTTGTAGCAGTCCGCTTCTACTCATGGTTTTACGCATCATTCGGTATTGCGCTAGTTTTATTCGTCAATAAGATTGTTCAAAGCACGTTCGCAAATGGCCACTTGTGAATATGATATCTTAGGCTTAATTCACTCGGTTAGAGTTGTGTAGTGGAAGAGTTTTTTCTTTTAATAGCACTCAATGATTTCAGTGATAATAATTGTGAAATTCAGAGTCAATACACAAGAAAGGTAATCTTGGAGAACATCCCAATTTCCACCTTGGGATTTCTCATAAAAAACGTATAATTGTCACATATTTGATAATATATTTCGACAATCCTCGTTATACTGTATAGATCGCAGTTGGTTAGAAAGAGCTCTCTTATTTCGTTCCGGGTGTGTGAAAATGGTCATTTTTTTGCTCCATACGTGAAGATACCTCTGTGGCGGATACACATGAGGAATACACCTCGCGCCAAAAGTATTGCACCCGCCCACCCCTGTATTTTTTAGATTATCTCCGTCCCCACGTGCAGGATCATCGCAATTTGTGAGAATCTCAAAAGATGATACTGGTTCGGTATGTAGTGGTAAGTGCACGAAGAATACCAAAATTTGGAACGTGTACTCGGATGAGATACCGATGTACTAGGATGAGCATGCAAGCAGTGTTCTTCATTCTGACAGGATATGGCTAATAAATCTATCACATGAATCAAACTGCTTGCTCACAATAAACGCCACTGCAACGGGAAAGAAGTTCATGAAATTTTGAAAAGACAATAAAGTCTTTCGTTTTTCGACTGGGAAAAAATACAGGGAAACAGTACAACCGGTGCGGAAGAGTGCAGGCTGTCACACTATTAGGAGCTTTTCAAGCCAAAAGACGTAGAAGGATAGTCTACAAACCGTAATGCAAATGTTTTCAACATGGTTTAACCAAGAATGGTTATGTGACGAAATAACTAAAAGATATTTGGCGGAACTTTTGGGACGATAGTCACGTCAACAGCTGGTTACTAAAAAGGACTCGGTAATGAGTGTGTTTGTTATGTATAGCTCAAAGCAATACCCACACATCCATCGACATTGAGCATCACAGATCGGGGCGTAGACCAAATAAAAACATTCAATAAGTCAGATGCCAGATGTACTCATCTCAATAGATCTGTGTCTCATCCGGGTACGCGTTCCAAATTTAGCATTTCTCAT